CCAGTCTTCACTCAGGTCACAACCGTCGTTGAATGTAAGACTTAGTGTAGTTAATGAAGTGTTTTTCGCCGAACCATCACCCAGACCATGTGCCCAGTCTCCACTCAGGTTACGGCAGTTGTCGAGTATCAGACGTAGTGTAGTTAATGACGTGTTTTTCGCCAAAACATCACCCAGAACAAGTGCCCAGTCTACTCTCAGGTCCCTGTAGTTGTTTGGTGGAAGACGTAGTGTGGTTAATGACATGTCAAAATCGACAGTGAAATCAAGATTGCGTGCCCAGTTGAAATCCTGGTTAAAGATGTTGAGGCTTGCGCAGTTGTGCTCAACTGATGAAGAAACATTGCTTCTGTCATTTGGATCTTTACAAATCCAAGCATCTGAGGCCACACTACAGGCTTTAAAGGCAAACAAATACTCGCCATTAAATGTTAACTCTTGAAGAGCACTGTTTCCACCTCTGGTTAGCTCTCCCCAAATGTTGATACTGAGAGAGGACAGGGTCTTGCATGGCTTTAAGTAACTTACAAGACATTCAGCGACACTTCTTGTTACTTTTCCATGGATGTTCAAAGTGACACAAGAAGTTGATGATGTTAGCAAGAGGTTACAGAGAGTGTCTGCCCCAGCATAACTCAACTCGCCCCAAAGGTTTAAAGTTAATGACTGAAGTTCAAAACCAGGGCAAAGACGAGCCACCTGTGTCTTTGATATGGTTCCAGTGATATTTGGATGAAATGCAACTGACATCTTTGTCTTTTTGGCCTGTAGTACTTTCTCAGCAACGATCACCCAGTTGTCAGGAAGCTCTCCAAACACTTTCACCTCCAAAAATTTCAAAGCACTATTTTCCAGAAAACCTCTTTCTAAGTAGATAGCAGCAGAATAGCTTACTCTCCCATAAATGATCAGAGTGAGGGATTTTAAAATGCATTCTGCTACAAGTGTTTTGTCAAGAGAAGTAGCTAGTGAATCCTGCATCTCACAATAGATGATGAGGGTAAGAGAGGCCAGAGATCTGTTGGACAGAACTCTTTTCAAAGCCCCTATTGCTTTAACACCCAGTGACCTATGAATCTTGAGGACAACAGACGTCAATGGTGTATCTGCAGACAATCCTCTTTCTAGAGCACTGGCCCAAGCCTCGTCACACTCATTTATCAATTCGAATGTTACAGTTGTTAAGGTCTTATTAGCAGCCAAACTGTTACCAATCATATCAGCCCAAACCAAAGAGATACTAGATGTTGCTCTAAAAGTAAAGGAAGATATAGTTGAGTTTCCAGAAAGTCCTTCGAACAAAGTAGTAGGTGTTCGTGACTGTGACAAGCTAGATGCAAGAAGGGAGAATGTTTGTAGCTTTGGACAGGAAACTAGGAATTTTGAAACCATTTCTTCGTCCTCCTCTGGAAGCACATCGGGGTGTACAGTTTCAATGGTAAGATGAACAGGGTGCTGTACTTGGGAAAAATTCCTGCAGGCTTCTACGACCATCAGAAAGTTTGCATGAATAGTTTCATCTCTCTTTTCACCCACTCTATCTAAGTTCCTAATTTCTACAGTCAGTGGAAATGGGATGAAGGAACAAAGAGTCATTGCCATTTGCTCAGCATTTTGACTTTCACTGAAACTTTCAATAAAAAAAGTAGCTTCTTCTTTAGAGCACCTGAGCCAGTCCCAGTCTTCACCCGCAAGTGTCTCACCAAT